TGTTACTCGTCTTTAACCTTAAAAAATGTGCACAGTCTCTCAAGCCATGTAACTGTAAATCTATGTGTCTGAAAACTATGGTAATCGCCGTTGTGGCATTACTAGATTAAATGTTATCTATATCTATGCACGAAAAATAAAGAATTTTAAAAAAAATGAAGAGATGAGAATCCTTAGCTACAGTTTAGATTTTATATGAAATATGCCAGCTCTGCAATTCTTTGGTAAAGTTTGCTCTTACAACGACGAGTATTGTACGACAAAGTAGACATCAAATAAATTGGGAAAAGAACTAATACCATGCCAAGCTCACTTGAACAAGGCGCACATAATCTGTTCGTAATTATAATCTAGTTTATTTTTTATTTTATTTCTTTGCCCATTGTACGATTACTAGGAATATGATGGAACTATACAATAAGTCAGGTTCTCTGTCGTAAATCTTGCAAATATACTTCTAAGGATATTTGTTTTGCTGAGTATGAATGTTGTGCCTTCCACCAGAATTCTCCTTTACCTATAGAGAATAAATGTGAATTCTAATTCCTTATCCCACGTTACTAAGCTCTCATTTTTCTTCTGCCTGCATTTCTCCTCCGTGATCTCTATGCAGAACAAGTGACCTCTGTCTACATCTTACCGCTTTCCTTCTGTTCACTTGCTGTTTTCTTTAATTATTCACAAGCAAGGCCTGAGCTGTGCAGGCTTTTATACCATTTGATAATTTATTTTCACCAGCTGCAAAAAGTAGAGCTGGTGTTTCGTTGGGTAAATGAAGCATAAAAGTGGCCTACGTCTGTATTTAGCGAATGTCTGCGCGTATGGAAGTATACGTGGATGTGTTCGGCTGTCTGGTATTTTACCAGTAATCAAAACCTTTAAACTATCGTGACTGTCTGGTGTAATAATCCAATATATAATGGTTGGCTGAGGGGTATGTAACTGTGCCTTCACAACTTGTTTATGTTTACCGTGATAGTTATTTTATTCTTTATTGAACCATATATCTAAGGTGACCCTAGGAACGGCACATGACTTGTGTTTCTGTGTAGTAATAATCATTTGTCTTCATGTTTACTGCTGCTGTTTATAGATAGACAGATCTTTATTCTTTACTGTATGGCCTGTCACTTGCTGCACTTCATAGCTAGCGTCTGATAAATGCTTGACTTGGTTGGCTAGTAGAATAACGTAAACCTGTGCAGATATCTTTGGCAAAGCTTTCCTTGTTCTACTGTCCATCTGCTTCATCTTGTCTCCTTGAGAATAGTCCGCTGACTCAGGATATGATTATGGCTTTATCACAAAGTGTGTCTTCTTTTTAACAGCTCTTCATTCCTTTGTCCTTCTCTGGAACCACCCAACCATCAATATACATTCTAATAGTCTTAGATTCCAGACACTTCTAAAAAGTCATCTTCAGACAGTTGCCACTAATTTTGTCATGTTGCACTTTTACTTATCATTAATTGTGGTATTCCCAGTCCTATCCCGAGTTTGTGTACCATATTATGTAGAATTCCATCTCTTTTGGAAGTTTTAAAATAGTGCAATGTAATGATACAGTTAGTGAAATGGTATCTTTCATCTAAGGAAAGCTATAGTGACAGAAATACAAACGTATTCCTATCACTATCGCTGTAATATAACTATGTAAACCCCCAGCCCCCCTGTCTAATGTAAAGGGTGAGTTTACTCCCCTTTGTTCCGTTAAGCGCTGGAATAACGATCATATGGGAAAGCATTAGATTGGCTGAGATTGGCTGATGATCTCAGCTGGGGTGGGGGGAGCAGCCAAATCCTGCCCTGTCCAATCAGCATCTCCTCATAGAGGTGCATTGAATCAATTAATCTCTATGGGGAAAGCGAGACGCTGAACGTCAGTGTGCAGCACTGACCAAGGAAGCACCTCTAGTGGCCGTCTGAGTGACTGGAAGCGTCCCTGGGCAGCAATGTAAATTGTGCCTGTTCTATAAGAAAGGCAGCAGTTATATGAAAATGCCTGCAGGGACAGGCTATACTCACTAGAACAATTACATTAATCTATTGTTCTGGTGGCTATAGTGGCCCATTAAGTTATGTTTTGTTCACTTGTAGATTACCCTGAAAATTAGTGTATAAAAGGTAATCCATTTTGCATATAGGTAGGGTTTTCAGATACAGTTTTTGCACAGATACAACTATAAAAACTACATGTATCTAAGCTTTATTTTAACCAGTACATCTCTGAATAAGACATTTGTCAAATGTGATCAAACATCCCTAGTTATACGGTGTACCGTTACCTTTATTTGTACAGCATTCTGTTAATAGAGCCAAGAAAACTTAGGAATTGATGCAGGTCTTATTGCCAAAGGTCTGTAGATGCACCAAAAACTGAAATGAAAAAAATAAAAAGGAATTTGTAATGTTTTCACAGTATACCTCATAAGTAATACTGTTAGTTCTATTCCAAAGTCCCAGTGAAAATGTGTCTAAAATGCTGTTTTAGGAGCAGCACACGAACAGGAGATATAGCTCCAGATAACACTGTTGTTCTGAATTTCATTGTTCTCTGGTTATTATTTAGTAATTATGAAGTTAAGCCATTCTACAGATATCATTCCTGATTCTCGAATTTGTGCATTCAAAGAGAAAAGAGTTCCTTTATCTCTGTTTCCCCGTGGATATTTTCTTTGTAAGCGTTATCTACTGTATCAATGTACTTTTTATGCTTCTTTTGTAGACGCGACCTCTTGTTTAGTTAATATTCGCTATTTTGGGTTAGGCCCTTTCTGCCTATGTAGACTGTGTTATGGTCACTTTATTTAATGGTGACGAATTGTTTTTTCATGACCTCTTGTTGCCAATTGTATTGATTCACCCAGTGGTACTAGTGGAGTATTTTTTTTTTTTATTATTAGATATTACTAGCTTGTTTATTCATTGTGTTTGAATAAAACCGGTTCATTTTATATTTAGTCCATTTGACATGTTTTTCCTTTCTCAAATTAGTGCTGATGCTTCTTTGTTTTTAGCATAGAAGCCAGTACAGCGACAAAGAGCATAAACATTTGGCATAAATTATGTGTACCTGGTTTATTTAGTAAAAACATGCTGATGTTTTCTTATGTAGTGTCTTAAGGAATCGGAAGCAGTGTTGTTAGTGTGATGTCATTATATAACTTTCCTTACCCTCTTTGTGTGCCTCTCTCTTCTCATCTACTAAATATCTTTATGTGTGTGTGTTTCTCTCCATCTCCCAAGTCCCCTTTTGTTTCACATTACTGGCCGGACCACACTGCTAATGTGCTCTCTGCATGGTTCTATTGCTCGCTGCACAGTGTGAGTGTGTCTAATGATGCGCTCGTGGGACAGTGTGAAAATACCACGACATCAGGACTGTCCCACCAACAGCAAGACTGTTGGGAGGTATGCTGTATAGCTAGAATCATTTTCCACTAAGGTCCTAGATAGTATTAGCTGCTTTCTGCTTGTAGTTAGAGATACAAGAAAAACAGATCCATGAAATATGCCAGACTTTCTATCTACACACTGAGTGCCATTAATGCATGCTGGGTTCGAGTCAGACTTAGGAGGAAACATATACTCTGGGTCTTCAGTTCTTTACAGTTAGAATAAAGGAGAGCAGAGATTGTTTGATCTGGCTCCTGGAGGAAGGTACTACTCGCTCTCCCCCCAGTAGTCTAGTGTAGCTCAAATATGTCTGGTTTTATTTTTAACATTGGACAGCTGCTTTGATTAGCATTACTATCCTTCCAGCATTAATATCCTGCCATGAAGGGCTTCTGAGTCTAAAGAACCCCACACCTGGGGCTCTTACCCCTTATAGCCAACACATTTCCAATGTTTATTTGTATAGTGTTTGCTTTAATGGCCTCTGTAATATGTCTTGATGATTTAATAAATAATTATCTTTCTCTAAAACAAGACATACATATATCTGTAGCAATTTATTAGCGGAGGGATAACTGTGGCAATAGATAAATCCTAACTCACACTGGTCTTTGATAACTTGTTTCTCTTTGCAGCAAAGCGTTCGTATCCTTACTTTTCACTTCTTGCATTTTGCCAGTTGGCCTTACAGAGAGGTGTCAGACAGGTTACAAAGCAGGAAAATATTTAACGTGGAACAGAAGGCGATGTGGTTTATGGAAACAGCTAACCTTTGCAAGTAGAAATTATATCTCCATTTTTGTTCCTGTTTAAAATGGCTCAGTAATTGGTCTTTATTTTGTTTGTTTCTTGTGCATTTAATAGTGCAGCGATGTCTAACCTTGGCAACACCGATGTTTGTGAACAATGTTTCCCTTTCTGATGGAGATTACTATGTTTTAGAACTTTCCCCCAAAATGCCGTCATTACATAAGAGCTTCTGATTTAATAGACAGAAAGGAAGCTCTATCCATGAGCTGCAGTCCAGGAATAGTAGCTGTTGCTTTTTGTTTTGCAATTAACACCATTTAATATATATATATATAATTTAGGACAGGAAACAGAACTGTTAAATTTGTATAAATAGAAGTGCCTCTTCCCTTTCTGGCAGTAACGAGCTCTGCAACCCCTTTGAAGACAGGTCGGAACGTAATGCTCCAATTACTTCGATCAAGAAAAGAGAATTCAAAACCGTACCATAGCAATCTTCTGTTATTATTATTATTATTGCCATTTATATAGCGTCAACAGATTCCGTAGCGCTTTACAATATTATAGTCAGCGATGATGCTGGGACTGAGAGCAGAAGAACTGGAAGCATTAAGGAGTGGGGTACAAAATAATTGGAAGCATTAAGAACCGGTGTGGAAGAATCAAAAGTGCTCGGGGAAAGAGATAGAAATAAAATTGGCTTATCGAAAGGATCAGTTGCACTTAGATGTCGTCGGACAAAGTCCAAAAATAAAAAATTAAAAAATTTTAAAAAATAAGCAGATTATTACAACTAAGCCACTATAATGTCTCCTTCTATCACCAGCCACCCAAGACACAGGCCAAATTGGTCTAGTGGTACATACTTTGCTGTTTGTGTGAAGTGTCTGTGTGTACTAACACACAGACACTTCACACAAACAGCAAAGTATGTACCACTAGATTGGATGGTGTGTAATGTTTGTATAAGCAAGTGTTCATTTGTACATTGGTTCAAATGTTTGATTCGTAATCCATTTTTGTCCGTTATGTCTCTCTATTTCTGCCTGTGCTTCTCCCCACATGCTTTTTCCTATCCTTTTTGTTTGTGTCTCCCCTCCCCATCTCTCTCACACGTGCACCCTTCATCTCCCTAGTCACACACATGTATGTCTCTGGCATGTGGATGTTACATGGAAAAAGATCACACTAGAATAATAAAATAAGAATGCTGCTTAATGGAGCAGATAAATCAGACATAAGTACTTATAACTCGCACCTGTAATTAGGAGTGTAAGTGCCGAAGCACTGATCATAAAAAGCATCTTTGTAGGTCAAGAGAGAAAATAACATCCTGGAGGCTGAAAAGACACGTAAAGGAAGAATTGATTACTCATCAACTTCAGGCAGGCAAGCAGAGTTTATAAACCAAGTCCAATCCCGATCATTCTCATGTGAGTCAGCGCTAAGGGGATGTGAGGCTTATTACAAAGGGAGAAGAGCCCACACACACATATATAATCTGAGCGGATTGAGCTGCTATGTAGAACAGAGATCAGGGTGCGAAGCCTGGAACTGTGAGATATTTCTGACTCCGGAGCTGTCAGTGCTGTCTAAATGCAGCATCTGAGAAGCCGTTTTCCTCAATCACACTTCTAGCAATCTGCGTTTCCAATGCAATCAGGAAATAAAACTAGGTCACATCAAATATGTTTCACATTTCGTGCTGTGAATTGTTGCACGTCAAAGGTTAGCGAAACATAAATGATAGTTTACTAGAAGAACCACGGCTGATATACTGAAATGTATGCGCAACGTTATTCTAATTTTAATCATTTTTTCTTCCTTATGTGGATTCATGTTTAAATATAAAAATTTTCCCGACTTTACCGTAACTGACACGAAGACAAAAATAATAACATAGCGCTTTTTAAGTTCTCAAATTTTGTTCATTAAAAAAAAACAACTACACAACATAAACAAAAACAACAACAACACAAAAAAATCTCATAATTGTGCTATTTATTTTTTTGTTCTTTTAAAACAAGAAAGCTTTTTTTTTTTTTATATTTAGATTATCAGAACTTTCTCTGGTACCACTTCAGCCGTTTGGAAGGCACAGACAAGGCATTTTATGCAAGTTGTCTTCATTTGTTTTCCATGTTTACTCTTTATGAAAATATTTAAAGGCAGAAATAACAAAAGCAATGATACAGCAGACATCATTCATTATATCCAGTCTCGTCACATCAGCAAGTCAGAACATGCATTTTATCTTAACACAAGGTAGTAACTACATAGAGTTCGGAGGTGTGTACATGTTATATAAATAACTATTTACAAAAATGTTTCGGATGTAGGGTTCTGACAGGACAAACTTGTATTCAATTTGATAGCTCATAACTGCCTAAAGAGAGACTGTACGAATAGCCCCCGGGGTTTTCAGCTCCACAACCACCGCAAGTGTTAAAAAAGATGATGCCGAGGGATGTCAACCCCAGAAGCCTGAACTGCAGTTCTGCTGTCTGCTTCGCCCACTGTTTAAAAATAAAAACAATAAGCCAAAGGGACAAGAGGGCATAACAGAGGGATTAAATAAAGATACTTACAAAACAAAAACACCCTGACCCGTGTTTATGGTTAAAGATAAGATTCTGGGCCATTTATTAAGAAAACCGCAATTTATGGACCCAAACCGCTTGTCTCACCCCACTCTGAGCATCATTGTCACATCCCAGAATAATAGATATCTAGATTACCTTTGGTGTCATCTCCCGTTTTCCCAGTCACCTCGTCCTTTCTACTCTATTAGGAAACCCATTCTGCCCACACTTCGTAATGTTTATGTGATTTTCCCAAAAATTTGTATGACATCTGTTTTTACATGTATTCATGGGATTTTTCACTTCCTGTAGGGACGTGTGTTACTATTAAGGGTCCCTGATAGAATTAGGGCTCTGCAACGAGAGTATTGGCAACTTCCAAGTAGGCCGCTATGCCTGAGTGAGCCTTGAGTTAGAGGGTCTTTAGCAGCAGGATGCTTGTCTACTTGGGGTCTGTGTCGCACAGTAATAAGATTGTGTATGCAGATTCGGTAGGAAGGAGTCTGTCCTTTTTGGCTGTTGCTGAAGGTTTGAAGGAACAATCTCCCAACTTGCAGTTCTTTGGTGGTGCCATGTCATTTTTGGTGTTGTGCTGCCAACAAAGGTTTTATGACTCTAAAACACGCTGCAAGCCTAGTTTGTTTTGAGGCGCTACTCCACCATGCGCCCTCTCTCCTTGCAGCTCAAACCACACCCCATGCCCTCTCATTTTTTCATGCTTTCTCTTGCCAATAAAATTTTAGTATGTATAGGTATTAGCAGTAGAAATAGAGAAGTGCTCATGCCATTGTACAGAACACTGGTGAGGCCTCACTTGGAGTATTGTACGCAGTACTGGAGACCGTATCTTCAGAAGGATATTGCTACTTTGGAAAGAGTTCAGAGAAGGGCTACTAAACTGGTTCATGGATTGCAGGATAAAACTTACAAGGAAAGGTTACAGGATCTTAACATGTATAGCTTGGAGGAAAGACGAGACAGGGGGGATATGATGGAATCAACACCGTAAGGGAGGAGACCATATTTAAAAGAAGGAGAACTACCACAACAAGATGACATAATCTTTAATTAGAGGGGCAAAGGTTTAAAAATAATTTCAGGAAGTATTACTTAACAGAGAGGGTAGTGGACGCATGGAATAGCCTTCCAGCTGAAGTGGTAGAGATTAACACAGTAAGGGAGTTTAAGCATACGTGGGATAGGCATAAGGCTATCCTAGACTTAAGATAAGTCCAGCGACTAATTAGAAGTATTTTGAAAATTGGGCAGACTAGATGGGCCAAATGGTTCTTTATGCAGTCTCATTCTATCTTTCTATGTACTCGTGATCACAAAACTGAGATTCCCCATTATCTCTACTCAAAACCATTAATTAAAGGGAGACTATATTCACCAAAACAACTATAGCTTAGTGAAGCAGTTTTTGTGTATAGATCATGCCTGTGAAGTTTCTATCTCCCTTGGCTGTGACTGACAAAACAATATGGTTTAATTTTCAATCCGATGTAACTTATTCGAAAAGATTGTATCTCCTGCTCTGTAAATTTAACTTTAATTACATACAGGAGGCGCATGCAAGGTCTAAAAGGCTATCAACAGAGTAGGAGATAAGAAATTCTAAATGACACTGAATTTGCAATAAAGGAAATATAAACATTAGATGACTCTTTACAGGAAGTGTGTAAGTCAGATGCAGTGAGGTGTGACTAAGGCTGCATAAACAAAGTGATTTAACTCCTAAATGGCAGAGAATTGAGCAGTGATACTGCAGGGGCATGATCTATACACCAAAACTGCTTAATTAAGCTAAAGTTGCTTTGGTGACTATAGTGCCCCTTTAATTTACTAACCACACATTTTGTGATGCAAAAATACAAATAAATGCTGTTTCTCTAGATTGCCACAAAGGTCTTTTGTTACTTTAAACAGATAAGTTATGTCTCCGTATATACTCGAGTATAAGTCGACCCGAATATAAGCCGAGACCCCTAATTTTACCCAAAAAACTGGGTAAACCTATTGACTCAAGTATAGGCCTAGGGTGGGAAATGCAGCAGCTACTGGTAAATTTCTAAATTAAATTAGATCCCAATAAAATTACATTAATTACACACTCTGTGTGTATATGATGCAGATTGTGTGTTTGTGTAGTGTGTAAACTGGGTGGGGGTAGGGCATTCATATTATTTTTAATTTTAATATTTTTTTATATTAATATAATTACTTTAAAAAAAATAATATTAAAATAAAAAATATTAAAGTAATTATATTAAAATAAAAAAAATTAAAATAAAAATTATTTTAATATAATTACTTTAATATTTTTTTAATATTATTTTATTATTAAATTGATTTAAAAAAAATTTAGTCCCCCCTCCCTGCTTGATACCTGGCCAGGAAGGGGGGCTATCGCATTCCCTGGTGGTCCAGCGGCATTGGCTGTGCAGGAGGGGGGCTGGTTACCGTGGCAACGCTCCACGTGGCACGCAGACCGCGAGATTTAGACAGCAGACAGAAGCTGCAGGAAAGGTAAGTAACAGCTTGCTCCCAGCCCTTAACAGGACCGCAGGGCTTGTAATGAGCCCGGCGGTCCGGGTCTGTATTATGGCAATGTAAGTTGCCATAATACAGACACTGACTCGAGTATAAGCCGAGTGGGGGGTTTTCAGCACAAAAAATGTGCCGAAAAACTCTGCTTATACTCAAATATATACGGTATATACTCTTTTTCATTAACTCTTCATTAAGATGTTCTGACATTTTACAGCTATACATAACACAAGCTTGTCTCATATACCTTAACATGAAGAGAAAGATAGTGAACACAAATTACTGATGATTTTCAATGTTTTATTCCGAGTGATTTTTTTCAGAAAAGTGATGGTTTTCCCTTAAAGAACCACTAGAGGCACCCAGACCACTTCAGCTCAATAAAGTGGTCTGGGTGCCAGGTCCCCCTAGTTTTAACCCTGCAGCTGAAAACATAGCCTTTTCAGGGAAACAGCTTTGTTTACACTGCAGGGTTAATCCAGCCTCTAGTGACTGTTTCCATGGCAGCCACTAGAGGCCGCTTCCGCGATTTACACGGAGTAAATCGCACTTATTTGACGCTGGACGTCCCCACGGAGTCCAGTGTCAAAAAAGATCCCCATAGGAAAGCATTGACCAATGCTTTCCTATGGGCAGGTTTAAATGCAGCGGATGCAGCCTGTGGTCCCGGGATCCTCATTATGGGGGAACGTAAGTGTGTTCCAATTTCTCTCTTTCTCTCCCATGATGCAACGCACTTGCGTTCCACTCGACTGACTTTGGGAACCGAGGTACTACTACTGATGTACCCTAACTCCTAATATTTATT